CCCCCCCCCCAGGCCTGGCCCTAATGCACCCTTGTCCTGGGTCCGAGCCTGTGTCCAGGTCCTGGACCCCAAGTCCAAGTGGCGGAACAAAATCCTCCTGGGGCTCAACTTCTATGGGATGGACTACGCGACCTCCAAGGACGCCCGGGAGCCCATTGTCGGGGCCAGGTGAGCTCAGGGCTCTCTCCACCATGCCCAGGATGTCACTGGCCACTTGTGGGTGCCAGTGTGGGGGGAGAGGTGGGGTGGGGGAGGGGCCCAGGGTCTTTGGCCTCCGGGACCACAAGGTCAGTGATACGAGCTGGGCAGGAAGCCCTGGGTCCTCCACCCACCCCACCTCAGCCCCTACCTGGGGCCACTGTCCTCACCGCTGCATCAGCCAGCTGCGGCCATGGTGCTGTGTCATCGGTCTTAGGAGAACAGGGCTCAGCCGCTTGGCTGGGGAGGCCCATCCCTCCTCTGTGCGGGGCAGGGCTTGCATCCCCCCCCGCCCACTTGCCGCATAGGGACCTGTGACCGGCTGCCCTCGTGGCTCGGCCTCCTCTCCCCTGGTGGCATTCCTCTGCGGAAGGACCCTTCGGCGTGGCTCGCCTTGTGTGTGCTTTGTGCGTTCTGCTGCGGTGCTTTTTTTCACTTTTAAATTTTTTATTTTAAGATTGTGGGGTACAGTTTAGGGTTAGGCATGCAAATATTCATTGTGCAGGTACCCTTGTCGATGAGGTGTTGCTGCTGTGATTTCTTCCAGCCTTGTTTTTGTTTCCGGAAGGTACTTTTGCCTGCTGTGGAATTCTAGGTTGTCAGCTTTTCATCAGTACTTTAAGGCTGCTGCCCTGCCATCTTCTCACCTGTATTTTTCCAACAAGAAGTGTGGTTTTTTTTTGTTCCTTTGTACACATATGGTTTGAGCAATTTGATTTTGGCATGTCTTTGCTTGTTTTGCACTTGGTGTTCACTAAGATTCTTGAATCTGTGCATTTATACTTTTATTACATTTGGAAGATTGGGGCCAGTTTTTTCAGACACTGTTTCTGTTCCTCCTCCTGTCCTCTCCCTCAGGGACTACAAGCGCGTGTGCAGTGGGTCACTTGAGTTTGTCCCTCAGCTCATGGGTACGCCTTTTACTCTGGGGCTTTTTTCTCTGTGTTTTCCTTTTGGTTGTTTTTGCTGCTATCTCATTTTCTGGCCATTTCTTTTGCCCTGGCTCATCTGCCTTAACCCCATCCAGTGCTTTTTTCTTCTTATACGCTGCGATTCTTGTGGCCCGAGGCTTCTTTGGGTCTTTCTTATACCTCCTGTGTCTACTAAACTTTTGCACACATGGAATTTGGCTGTAATAACTACTTAGTGTCCTTGTCTGCTGACGCTAATATTTGGGTTGGTTCTGGGTCAGTTTGGGGGGCTGCTTTTTCTCCTCGTCTGGAGTCCTGTTGTGCTGCCTCTGGCCCTGGCACTCTTGGGTTGGATGCCAGACGTTGTGGATGTACCGGGTTGGATAAGGATGCTTTGGCATTCCTGTAAATTGTCTTGATCTTTGATCTCAGTGCAGTTAAGCTACACGGAAACAGTTGTAGCCACTCACTTTTGTGGAGAGCCTGGCCCCTCTTGTGGACGATGATGTCCAGAGACCAGGGTCTGGGTAGCACCTCCTCACCAGGCTCGGCTGTCCTCTTTACAGGTCTCTGTGTGTGCCCCACGGCCTGCTCTCCGGAGGGGCACAGCACATGTCACCTGGGGCAGGTGAGCAGAGGCCAAGCCATCTGCCCTGCACTTAGTGTCAGTGTCCCCACCAGGCCCCCTGCGTTGCTTCCTCTAGGGTGGCCCTGGCGGAGGAGCAGAGGTAACTTGGTTCACCCTTGCCTGGACTTGTGGGTTCTGGGAGTTGGCAGCGGTCAGCAGAGGGTTACATTGGGCGGCTCTCCCTGTTGCCCCCAGGCTCTTGCTCCAAGCGCCAGGCCTTCAGGACAAGGAGGACGGCTCGCTGGGGCTGAGGCCATAGCTCTACCTCACCCTCCATAGTGAGACATCAGAGTGGGCCATCTGCAAGGGGATGGGAGGCGTGGCGGTCCGACTGGGGGCTTCTCCCATGTCCACTCTCTGTGTCCACCATGGCTGGCCCTGGGGCCCAGCACAGGCCTGGGCTCCCACTACTCTCTGGCCCTGGCACCGGTGCGTTCTGCGTCACTGAACAGGGCCTGACCCTGCAGCAGGAGTGAGCTGGGGTGCTGGCTGAGGAGGGTTTGGGGTGACCTGGGCAGCAGGCCAGGTGGGGAGCACTGAGGCTCAGTGCCGCCTGTGTTGGGGTGCTGAGAAGTCAGCCCCCGCCTCACGTGTGTGGAGACATGTGGAGCTGCACCTATGGTCTGCTGCTCCTAGGGGCTGAGATGAGGCACGGGTCGGTTGTAAGGGCGTTAACCCTGTGTCCCCCTTCCATCCTCATCTGTTTGTCCTTCTGGTCAGGGCTGCTCGCATGTGCTCACCCCTCCCTCACCTCAGCGTCCTCTGACACTGGGATTTCCAGGAAGGCTCTAGAGGCCTGGCGGTGTCCCCTCTGTCCCCCACCTGCCCCACGTCCCTGACGTGGAACCTGGTTCAGAGGACAGTGGGGGAAGCCGCGTGCAGAGCTGGGCCCCCAGCCTCGGGCTCTGGCGTCTTCAGGAAGCCTCGCCATGGCCCCTGTGAACTGCTCAGCCAGGAGCAGAAGGCACTTTCTCCAGCTGTGGAGGTGTTACCCACCCAGGGCCCCTTCAAGGCAGGAGGCCTCCTGGTATGCCCAGCCTGACTGCTTCAGCCAAGGGCTTTGCTCACCCAGGCCTGCAGAGAGGCATCACTTCTTTTATTTTTTTTTTAATTGAGTCTGAGTCTCACTCTGTCACCCAGTCTGGAGTGCAGTGGCACGCTCACAGCCATCACAGCCTCGACCTGCTGGGCTCCGGCAATCCTTCCGCCTCAGCCTTCCAAGTAGCTGGAACTAC